AGCAACGGCCGGCTGAGGGAAGTTGCCGGTAACGAGCGGGGCTCCCTCGCTCCGTGCGAGGCCGAGCGGCAGACGCTTTGCCGAAGAGCACTGAGGCGGCAGCATGCACAAAAGAGGCTGGCCGGCGGAGCCGAGGCGCCGGCCAAGTTCTTCGGCCAAGCTGGGAAAAACCAACAGCGGCCGCTGATTCTCTCCGGCTTTCGTCTCGTGACTGCGCGTCCATCGGGGAGGGGAGCGGCAGGAAGGAAACCTTTTGATGCCTCGCACCCCGACGCTCGGCTTTTGATATCTCACCTTCATATCGTGCCCTCATCTTTTATGCTTGGCCTCGATACAACCCGAGACGGTTTGAAGCCTCGCACGCTCACTCTCATTTTTTTTTTTTTTTAAAAACACGCTGCGTGCCGAAGCTTTTTAGGCACGAGAATGACGATGCGAGCGCAGACTACTTTCCGTTACCAAACTGTCAGATGAGTCGCGGTTGAGACAGGCGCAACACGATCCCAAACACGGTAGACCAGACTTGCGCTGGCACGAAAATGGAGTGACGCCAATTTTGACGCCCGGCGCACAGGCATCATTTTACCAAGTGTTGACTAGCAGCAACCTTTATCGTCGAAAACAGTTACCTCGGCTTTTGTTTTTGTTTAGCTGACGGAAATGTTGGTTCCTGTCGTTGTTTTACTGTTGACACGACAGGTGAATTGAACTGTTGCCATTTGGAGACATTGGTAAATATCGCCCTGTGCGAATATACAGCCGACGTGCATTTCGAAACATTTGACTCAAGAGTAACAAAAGGGGTCCAAAGATTAACCCCTGAGGGACCCCATATTTCATGGTCATTCAGCCGGACAATAAACTGCCAATGGTCACAAAGTCACTCCTTTTCCTTCAAGTAAGACCTGAACTCTTTTCGGACTGTTCCCCTCAGTATATTATGATGGAGTGTCTCTAAATCTGCACTGCGATCCAATAAGCCGAGCGCAGACACCTTTTGCCTAATGTGGCTTGTTCAACAATTTGGGTTGCCGACCCCTTTGATGCCTCTCATCCCACCCAAACCTTTTAATGCCTCGATCATAACCACGTAATGCCTCCCTTTGTCCCTCGACCTGTCACAATGACGAGCAGTTTAAAGCGCCGCTCGAATATATTTCTTCGCAGTTGGAAGAGGAAGAGCCGCGGGCGTGCGCCAACCCGCCGCGGCCAAAACACACAAACAAACGTGCGAGTGCAAGCGGGAGACAGGCCGCG